CAGACAGATGAAGGGCCCTGTCTGGACCTCACACCTGTAAGTGAGTGACAGGAGGGGATGTTAATACAATTATGATCCTCAACGTGCTATGAACAAATGGAGACAGAGAGAAGTGACTTGCTGAAGGCCAACAGCCCCCATCTCATCTCACCCAGGGTTGTAGACACATCATCTGTGGATTGGGAAGAAACATCACACCTGCCTTGCAGCTATCCCAGAGGGAGGAGTATGGGAGAACGTAATATAAAACCTTCAAACACAGTGTCCAGCATATAGTAGGTATTCAACAAATTAGTTAGTTTCATTTCCCCATTCCCTTTGAGGCAGAATTTCTGTCTGGAGAGAGATAGCGTAAAGAGACACAATGACAGATAGACTAGAGACTTGGAGAGATAGAGACGGAGAGAGCAGCAGGAGGGAGAGAATGACAGATGGATGTGGGAGGCAGGGGAGTCTGGGATACCTTTGAGGACATGGGGCTATGGCTTAGCTGAATCTCGGAACCCCTGAACCCCAGAACCACCCAGTGCTGAGTAACACAAGACGCTGCCTCCACAGAGCCCTGGATTTACAGTTCTCCAAGGCTGTCACCTGAGTGTTTTGACCAGTGTGTGAAGCCATGGTTGTACGTTTGAGCCCTGGGAGGATAAACCTGACTCTTTTTACTTATTTTTCTCTACCAGTGTTTCTTGGGACCCTCCTATGTACCAAATAGCCTTATCACCTCCATGGGGCTCAGATTCCAGGGGGCTCTTCCTCCGGGTGAGCCCCCGCCTCCTGCTAGCACTGGCAAGATGCTGTGGGGTGGCTCAGTTCAGCACCTTCCCTCCCCAGGAGGAAAGGGAGCTCTGAAAGTGGGGCGTGGGCACAGCCCCCCTCCACATCCCTCCAGCAGATCTCCTTCACTTTCCACATCACCCATGCCTCAGTCTCTTTCTGTTCCCTGCCAGCCCCTAATGAGCTCATTATCCTCTTAAAGCCCATTTGGCACCCACTTAGAGAAGAGATGTGTTGGAATATGAAAGAATGAAGAGGGAACAATGAAAAAGGACTAGACCCAGAAATATCCTCAGAGAGGCAGAAAGCCACAGGGAACACTACAGCTGAAAACTTTGCTGTCTCCAAGTCAGCAAATGTGCTGAGGTGGCAAATGGCTTTCAAGTGTCTCACATGTGCCCCTGAGGGGGCGAGGGTGGCACTTATCTTGAGCATCTCCTGTGCATCAGGTATTCCTCCTACAATGTTTAATCCAGTCCTTCCAGCAATATACTTTTTAGGGGAGAAGTCAAGATCCTTTAGGCCACTTTACACGTGAGGAAACTGAGTCTTGCTGAGAAGAGATGTCATGCCCCAGTCACTCACCTGGGGGAATGGAAGAGGCAGGATTTGAACCCAGGTCTGTTTGCCTGTGGAATCCACCTCTGTTCTTGCCTGAGTGCCTCTGGAAGGGCTGGTGTCCCCTTGCCCATCCCACGAGGACTGCTGGCTTTTTCTCATCCCAGCCCAGCGGCAGAAACATCTGGCACATGTGTTGGCACGACCATGAAACGTCAGTGGATTCTCATGTGCGTTGTTAAGACATAGTCCTGACTCCTGAGCTTGGCATCCAAGGCTTCCCATGGTCTGGCTCCTGCCCACCGCTTGGCTATATTCCCAGCCCACAGTCCCCCAGGCTCCTTTGTTTCTTCCCCCTCAGTGATGCACCCTTATGTGGGCTGTTCCTCTTCCCTGGGCTAACCTTCTGTTGCTCCTTCACCCAGAGAATTTTGACTCCTTTTGCAAGACCTGCTGGCTTAAAGACTCCTGCCTGGGGAAGCCCTCTATGGTCCCCCCAGGCAGTTGCAGATAAAATATATAAATATATATATATATATATATATATATATATATGTACAGTTGTTTGTTTGTTTTTTCTGAGATGGCGTCTAGCCCAATCACCCAGGCTGGAGTGCAGTGGCGCTATCTTGGCTCACTGAAAGCTCCGCCTCTTGGGTTCACACCATTCTCCTGCCTCAGCCTCCTGAGTAGCTGGGACTACAGCCGCCCACCACTACGCCTGGCTAATTTTTTTTGTATTTTTAGTAGGGACGGGGTTTCACCGTGTTAGCCAGGATAGTCTCGGTCTCCTGACCTCGTGATCCGCCCATCTCGGCCTCCCAAAGTGCTAGGATTACAGGCATGAGCCACCGCGCCCGGCCCCCCCACCCTAATATTTCAAGCCAAATTCTGGGAGCTTATGTGCAAGGGCTTTTTTTTCTGGGCATATATCTATAGTTGTTGTGAGATCTTCAAAGAGTTACAAGATCAGAATAGACATATGGTTAGGAATATAGGCTTTGAAATCAGGTGGCATTGGGTTTACTACCCTGCTGCCACTTACTAGCTCTGTGACCCTGAACAAGTTACCTAATCTCTCTGATACTCATTCCCCTCTTGTGTAAAAATAGATACACGTCTCCCTCATAGAACTGTTTAAATGAGAGTATTTATATGTGTAGAAGAATGTCTGGCATGTATTAAGTGTTCAATAAACATTAACTATAATATTGACTGCTGTATATTATACACACATCTACTATGGGATTTATCATTGTCTGTCTAGCACAGTAATTGTTTACATTGCTTTCTCCCTCAATTGACTCTGAATTCTCTGAAAGCAGGGACTGTGAATTATTTATTCCTGCATCTCAAGCACACACATAGTAGGCAATCAGCATATGTTTTTAAATAAATGAAAGAATGAGTGGATGACTGGATGGGTGGAGAGTTGGATGGATGGATGGGCTGCTTTAGTTCAGATAAATAGATGAATGAATGTATAGTTGGACAGATTAATGAATAGATTAATGGTAGGTGGATGGATGGCTCAATGAATAGATGGATAGGTGAACTGCTGGAAGACAAATGGATGGATGGATGGGTGGGTGGATGGATGGATGCATGGCTTAATGAATGGGTGAGTAGGTGGACTGCTGGATGACAGACAGATGGATAGATGGATGGCTTAATGAATGGGTGGGTAGGTAGACTGCTGGATGACAGACAGATGGATGGGTAGATGGATGGATGGATAGATGGATTAATGAATGGATGGGTGGGTGGATGCTGAATGATAGAAAGATGAATGGTGGATGGATGCATGGATAGGTGGTTGGCTTAATGACTGGATGGGTAGGTGGACTGCTGGATGACAGACGGATGGATAGTTTGACTTTACAAAGGCATGAATTTCCGGCCGGGCGCGGTGGCTCACGCCTGTAATCCCTGCACTTTGGGAGGCCGAGGCGGGCGGATCACGAGGTCAGGAGATCGAGACCATCCTGGCTAACACGGTGAAACCCCGTCTCTACTAAAATACAAAAAATTAGCCGGGCGCGGTGGCGGGCGCCTGTAGTCCCAGCTACTCAGGAGGCTGAGGCAGGAGAATGGCGCGAACCCGGGAGGCGGAGCTTGCAGTGAGCCGAGATGGTGCCACTGCACTCCAGCCTGGGCGATAGAGTGAAGACTCCGCCTCAAAAAAAAAAAAAAAAAAAAAAAAAAGGCATGAATTTTTGTCTGTTTTGTTCACTTATTTATTCCAAGTGCCTACGAGGGTGATTGGTGCATAGTATGTGCTCAGTACTTAGTTCTTGAACAAATGAGTTGGCGGACTACCTTAAACCACAGTTAAATGCTGACACTGCTATCTGGATTAGGAGAGTATGTTACAATTTGTATCTTCCATTGACTGACTATGGAATCTCAGGCGTTGGCTAAGATGGTCATGGGGCCCCCTGCTGGTGGTAATATGAAAAAGCATTGCCTAAATGGAGTTTCCTGTTTTCTCATTTACATTCTATTTTTCCTCTTGACTGATGATCCTGAACATTTACTCATAAAGCTGTGGTTCTCAACCCTCCATGCTCATAACCATTATCTGAGAGCACCTGGTTACAGCTGTGGGTTGGAAAGGTCAGGAATCAATATTCACCAGGCTCTCAGGTGATTCTGAATCAGTTGTTTCTCAGACCCACATCTGGGAGACCCTGACAAAGGGTGAACCATGTTGGTAACTGGGAGGCTGTGAGGATCGGCTACTGTTTGGGGAGCTGTCTCTGAATTCTCAAGTGATGTCCAGACTATGTGGGAAAGAGGCAGAGTCAAAGAGGCACTGGTTAAGAGCTGTGATTTGCAATTTGGACTGTCCTGGGTTCAGATCCCAGCTCCATCACTCACCGGCTGTGTGAACTCCTTTTCCTCATCTGTAAGGTAGGGAAATAGTTACCTCCCATGGGAATGTTGGGAGGAATAAAGGAGACAACAAGTGTAGATGGCTGGGCACAAAGCTGAGCACATGGTAGACACTCAATAAACACTGAATGGACAAATATGCTGCTAAATAACCCTATTTTCCTTCTTTTTCCTTTTCTTCCTTGGATAGAGGAGAGGGGCTATGGATTTTATTTTTCCCACTAGAATGTGAGCTCTGTGAAAGAGGGGATTTTGCCTCTCCTGCTCACAGCTTAATTTCCAGCACCTAGGACAGTGCCTCACACAAAGTAGGTCTCACTATTTGTTGGGGAAAAAAAAAAATGAATGAACCTGGTTTGGTTCAGAGTTGCCCAGGTTCAGCAGGTAGTCCAGCAAGGACCTTGAAAGTACTTTTCGGACTTAAGGTAATCCTTGGATCAGTGTATATTTGACAAATATATAGTAAGTATGGAGCAAAGCAAACCACTGGCCCATGAGAACCTGTGCTTGTCCAAGATGAAGTTTGTCCCCAAATCAGGGCCCACTAGGATCCAGGCCCCCAAATTCCCAGTTTGGTGTCAAGAAAAAGACAGTGTTCTGGAAGACTCAGGGATGCTCTTTATCCGACACTGCTCTTAAGCCTTTTCATGCCATTGGTGGTTTCCTCCCTCTCCAGGCCTCTGCATTTCCCTCTAGGATGCTCAAGAACCCTGTGGGTTCTGTGCTTTGGTGAAGGGGCTTCTCATGCCTGTGTCTCCGCTGTTTTGCAGGTGGCATCCCTGAATCCTGACTGGATGGAAGCCCACCAGCTTCTGTTCCCATGAGGTAGAAAGGCCAAGCTTGGTCTTCAGCTGGGGAAGAGGCCAGAAACAAGGCCCCTGGCGAAATAACCCGGATCCATTGGCCTGAGGAGCAGAGAAAGGGTGAGAAGTGAACTGCAGCTGCTGGTAACCCTCAGAAACCTTCTCTGATTGCTATTCTCACAGTTCTTTGGGAAGACTCTGAAGTGAAGAACAATATGTAGGAAGATGGGACCAACTCATGTGTGTTCTGAGCCTCAAAACCCCTTTCTTGGCCCAAAGAAGCTCACCTTGAATTTGGGAGGGCTGGTAAGCTCCATCCTTTCTCATGACCTCAGCCAAGCATTGAACTTGCCCTCCCCTTCTGGCCTTGGTGATCACTTTTTCCGGAAAAGTGAGACTGAGGACTCTCAGGTGTTCCATCCCTAAGAAAAGCTTGGGAAACCAAGCCCCTTCCGTCCCCTCCCAAGCACCCCAGCCAAGCCCCAGAGAGCCAGTCCGGAATGATCCCGCTATGGCCAAGCTCTGGTTCAAATTCCAGCGGTACTTCCGCCGGAAACCTGTGCGCTTCTTTACCTTCCTGGCACTCTACCTGACTGCCGGGAGCCTTGTCTTCCTTCACTCTGGCTTTGTGGGCCAGCCCGCTGTCTCGGGGAACCAGGCGAACCCCGCGGCCGCAGGAGGCCCGGCTGAGGGTGCTGAGCTGCCCTTCTTAGGCGACATGCATCTGGGCAGAGGTTTCCGGGACACCGGTGAAGCCTCGAGCATCGCTCGCAGGTACGGACCCTGGTTCAAGGGCAAGGATGGGAATGAGAGAGCCAAGCTTGGCGACTACGGTGGAGCCTGGAGCCGAGCCCTCAAGGGGAGGGTTGTCCGGGAGAAGGAGGAAGAGCGAGGTAAGAGCGAGAAACATCTGGACACTGAGGGGTTGGGGAGAAGGGAGGAGATACTAACAATATAATAACAGCTGTCAGTTTTCAGTGTTTAATAGGAACCAGCTGTCATATAGTTGTAGCTATAAATAAATAGTGCCTTCCATTATCACCCCCATTGCACAGAGGAGAAAATTGAAGCTCAGAGGGATGAAGCAGCTTGCCCAAGGTCACACAGCTTGTCAACAGGCAAGTTTGGATTTAAATTCCACATCTATCAGAGGTCAAAGTCTGACTCTCCCCTGCAGCCTTTCACAGTCCTTGTTAAATATACATGAAAATAAAAAGTCAGCATTTATTGGGTACTTACTAGGCACCAGTACTGTTTCCAAGCACTTTACATATATAGAAACATCACCACAACTCTAGGTGATATATTTTATTTATTCAGATTTTAAAGATGAGGAAAGTGAGGTACCAAGAGCACAAGATTACACAGATAAGTGGCAGAGCTTCTGCTCCACCAGACTGTCTCTCAGTCCGTCTTGCTGGGTCCCTTGGTGGTGGATCCCAGGGGACACCATTGCCCTCGATAGACTTCATTGCATTTTCTCGGCCATTTATAATCTAAAAAGGCTTTTCTTCATGAGTGCACCACCTTATTTGATTTTCACTGCACTTCATGGGCTTAAACAAGGGCCCTATGATCCTGTGCCCAGTTAACAGATGTGGAAACCAAGGATTGAAGAAGGGAAGACACTTGCTCAAAGCTGCACAGCTGGTCAGCAGCAGGAATGGAGTTTAAATCTGGCCTGAACACTCAGTTTTCTAAGCCTGTCTCCTAGAGTCCACTGGCATCTACCCATCCAACCAGCATGCTAGGGAGGAACCCACAACCCCTACAATTCATGAGATTAACACAAATGGACATTTCAGAAATCTGGGCCAGATGGTTTGGGAGAATAAACTACCAATCAAGGCAGATGGAAAACTTCACTAGCCTTTGTGTTCTACTGTGATTCAACTCATAAAAAACCCTTCTCCTACTGTGGAAGGGAGCAGGATTAATGCAACACGCTCTCCTGCCCCAGTCTCCCCCTCCCCCTGGCCTTGGAACCATCTAGAAGACTCTATCTTTCTGCCCTTAGGAATTTCCTAGACTTCTGCCTCTTCAAGAACCAATGTTCACAGGGAGGCAAAGGAGATGTTGGAGGTGGCAGAATGGATCAGGGGATGTGGATTCATATTCCAGCTCCACCCCCACCAGCCATGTGGCCCAGACAAATGGTTTTACCTTTTCAGGACTCAGTTTTGAAATCTGTAAAATGGGGATTTTACTGGATGCTCCTGAGAGTTCAACGAAACAAGAGTCATGAAAGCCTAGCACTGAATAGGTGCTTAGAGGTACTCAGGAAGTGCTCCTGGGATCTCCCTGGGGATCATCTTATAGATGTAGGTGAGATGTGAGGTGCTGCACCCCAGCCACTCCAGACTCCATTCTGGACTTTGAAAGCCCCAAAGTCCTTGCCAGCTTACACCTTGGGATATGCTCCCCATAATGCTTAGGACAAATTCCAGACCCCTCCCATAGTCCAACTCTCCAACCTCATCTTATAACCCCACTCCCCTCATCATGCTCTGCCCCACTGTCCCTGCCGTTCATTGAACACACCAAGCCTGTTTCTACCTTAAGATCTCTGTATATGCAGTGCCTTCTATCTTGGATGCCATCTCCCCAGATGTTTGCACAGCTTCCTTCTTCCTTTCCTTCAAGTCTTCAATCAAACCTCACTTTCCCATAGAGACTGTCCCAGAGCATCCTAACTCAAATAACCCCACTTCCTACCCAGTCACAACCACATTCCCCGACTCTATTTTCATCATAACACTGAACGCCATCTGAAAGCATCTCATTTACGTGTTTGCCTCTTTGTTTAAGATCAACCTGTTCTACTGGACTGTCAGCTCCAGGAGGGCAGGGCTATTGCCTGTCTGTATTCTATCAGCACCCAGGACAGCACCTGGCTCAGTGCTGTTGCTGAACACCTATTTGTTGAATGGGTGAATGACTGGATGAATAAACGAATGAATGACTATCCCTCTGCCTGGAGTACCTTTACAGGGTTAGCTCTACCCTTCCTCCAAGTCTCAGCTTTGCTAATCTTCAAGAAATTTTCCCTGATCCCCTTACAGGCTTGATCAAATGTTCCTCCTCTATGCTCCCTGACATGGCCCTTATATTAATGGCAATTGTGTATGTTTGTCCACATCCCCTGATAGAATATGAATTCCTTGTGGCGTAGATGATACAGAAATGACGTTGTCTCTCATTTGTTGTAACAATGAAATACTGTCATCAATACCACTAATAATAATTAACATTTCTTGAGTACCTACTTTGCACCAACCACTTGTCTATTTGCTTTTCATGTATTATTTGAATGAAATGATATATGTAACATGCTTATAATATCCTCTGGCTTATAATAATAGGTCACTTAATAGTTGCTGTCCTTGTTATTTGTAGTAATATTAGCTGATATCTAGTGAATGATCATTACAGGCTAGACCACGTTATGTGTTTCATTGACTCATTCAATTACTACAACTCAGTAAGTTAGGGATTGTTATTCCATTTCAGAGATGGCAAAACTGAGATCCAGAAAGAAATCACTTACCCTAGTTTACACAGGTCAATAGTGGAAGAACCAAGGTTTAAAACAAGGTCTGTTTAATTCCAAAGCTTGTGGGCATTCTTCTATACCATGCCAATTGCACCCCCACTATGCCTTATCCAGCAATCTTATATATTTTATGAAGTGCAGAGAGAAGGAAGAGAAAATAAGAACATAGCCCCGAGGCCAGGGCTCTCAGCAGACAGCCTTTGGAATCAGGCAGTGTTATTAAGAAAACACAAATCCAGCCTGTCCTTGATTAACTTATTCAGAGTTCAGCGAGGAAAGACAACATATTAGATTAACGCTAATAAAAATGAGACGTTTCTCCGACCTGACGCTAAACTCATTTGGTTTTCTCCAAAGCTGGCGAGGGCCCTGCTTGATGCAGTGATGCAGGACTCAAGCTGTAGAGGATTCAGAGCCCATCATGGCCCAAGAGTGGGAGGCGAGGAGCTGCACCCAGGCTGGGCTGAGGCTGGGCAGGAGTCTGAGTTCCTTGGTGTGACTGACACCTACCATACGCCAGTCATTTACCTAGGACTGTCTAGGTTCACATGACCCTGTGAGAGCCTGTACTTTGAGTAGCCAAATCAGGGTTCAAATCCCAGTCTTGCAACTTGCTGGCTGTGCAGCCTTGGGCAGGTCGCTTCACCTTTCTGACATGCCATTTCCTCTTTGGGATAAAAAGTACTTAACATCAGATGACATTGTGATGATTACATAAGGTAAATTCAGCATGTGCTCTCTAAGTGCCAGTGCTATTCAAAGCATTTACATCTATTACATCACATAATCCTCATAGTAATGAAGGAAGATAGACACTGTTATTAACTCCATCTTACAGGAGGGAAACTCAGGCACAGAGAAGTTAAGTAACTTGCCTAAGATTACCCACCTGGGGGAGGGAGCAAACCAGTATGTGAACCCAGGTGTTGTGAGTCTCACACCTGAACCTCAACCACTACATCACGTCACTTCTTAGTGTACAGAAAGTACATGCCAGCTATTATTATTATAATAAGCTGGCATGCCACCTTAATACATGCCAGTTATTATTATTTGTACTGTAATTTTGCAGGAGAAAATGGGGGAATAGAGGTAACGTGACTTTCCTAAAGTCACACAGCTAATCTGGGGCAGAGCCAGGAGCCAAACCCACTTTGACTTCAAAGGCTGTGCTGCTTCTATTTCCATGAGATTACAGAGAGGCTTGGGCTGGGTGTGAAGGTGGTCATGGGAAGATTTAGTCTGCATTTTTTTGGAAGGATAGCAGGAGCACCCACTTCCCATCTCCTCCAGCTGAAGATACAATGGCTGCAGGTTACTAAAGTGCTCTGTGTCAGGGACTGTTTGTCCATATTCTCCTTTCAACTCCATATCAGGTAAAAATATTGAGTGCCATTTCATGGATGAAGAAACAGAGACTCAGAGAGGTTCAATTATTTGCCCAATATCATACAGCTGCCAAGAGGCAGAGCTGACTCCAGCCCAATTTGATCAGAGTCCAAAGCCCTTATTCTTAACCACTGGACTTATACTACCTCTTTCTTAAAATATATGATCTCTAACTCCATTCATTCATTTATTCATTCATTCATTCCATATTTATCAAACACCTACTACGTGCCCAGATCTTTGCTGGGAGGTGGAGATACAGGAATGATTCAAGCACAGGTTGTGAATATTCCTCAGAGGAAAAAGCTGTGCTTTTCCCCATTGTAGCACCTTTTCATTTCATTACAAATTCTTCTACAATAATCCAAAATTATTTCTAATTTGAAAAAAATAATAGACAATACCAACAAAATTTAGAAGAGTTTTGGGGGACTCAAAAGGAGGGACCCCATTCAGTCATGGGGTATCATAGCTGGCTTTCTGGGAGAGGAGATGGGTAAGCTTAGTATGTAGGATCCTTAGGCCTTGACCAAAGTGAGTGGTGCATCCCTTCTGCCCTGGGAAAGCCTAGATATGAGCAGGAAATTCCATCACCGGTACAAAGAAACCCGGGCAGCACTGGGTGTTCTTCCGGAGGGGACCACCTTCCAGGGTTTCAGAGAATTCCCAGAAGGAGAAAAATTGTTTCTTGTGTCTTCCTTCTGTGTCAGACCCTGTGATAGGCTCAATGCATCAAATTAATGTTACTTAGGCCACTCTTAACAATATCTTTGTATTAGCTTTCTCAGGCTGCTATAACAAAGTATCACACACTGGGCGGCTTGAACAACAGATTCTCTCACAGTTCTGGAGATTCTCTCACAGTTCTGGAGGCCAGAAATCTGAAGTCAGGGTGTTGGTAGGGCCATGCGCTCTCAAAGGCTCAAAGGGAGACTCTGTTCCATGCCTTTC